TCTCTTTTTCCTTAGGAAGAGGTTGTCTGCTTTTCTTTTCTTCTTTTCTTCTCTTTATGTTTGGAGAGGGTTTTTTTTTTTTTTTTTTTTCTTTCTATCCTCTTCTTTTAAATATTCCTCCTTTTGGTTAAACTGACGAGATGCTGGGGGAGAGTAAATGGGTTGAGGTAGGCATGTTCAAGAGCTTCTTCCTAAAGTGGAATCAAGGGTGGGACTTAGACCACAAATGATTCATAGGCTAATTATTTGCCTAAAAGGGAGGGGGGTTGGGAGGGAGTGGGGGGGGGGGTGAATGGGCAGAGGGTATGGGGGAAGGGTAGGTAGTTTTAGAAATAGTAAGAAATATATCTGTCTGGAGAAAACCTAGAAAAAGAAAGAGAAGATACGGAGAGGAGAGGGGGGAAGAGGGAGATGGGAGGAGAAGAAAGGAAGAATGGAAGAGATTCATTTTATGACTTATAATGTTAAAGGTTTAAATAGCTTTGGGAAGAAATTTAGGATTTTTAAGGAAATTCAGCACAGATTATCCTCAGTGTTTTTTTTACAGGAGACACATTTAGAACAAGAAGCAAATGTGAAACTAAATTCCAGATATTATCCAATATGGTACTATGCAGATTCCCCAATTAAACGAGCCAAAGGAGTGGCAATAGGTTTCGTGAAAAATATCAAGTTTAATTTGGAAGACAGTGTGGTAGACCCGGAAGGGAGATATTTGTTCCTGAAGGGGAAATTACAGGATTGGGAGTGTACTCTAGCAAATATCTATTGCCCAAACAAGAAACTGGAGGAGTTCGTAAAGAATACGCTGAGGAAACTAATGGATTTCAAGAAAGGTAGTTTAATTGTCGCGGGAGATTTTAATTTTTGTATGAATCCTTAGATAGATATGACGTCTCGTGTGCAGAGGGATGAGAGTAGGTCTCTTAGATTTTTAAAGAAAATGTTATATCAATGTCAACTTGTGGATATATGGAGAATTAAACATATGAAGGACAGAGACTATACGTTTTTTATTCTCATGCACTTGAGACGTACTCAAGATTGGATTATATACTGTTGGACCATCAACTTATTGAGTCTCTGGTTCAAGTAAAAATAGAGGAGATATCAATATCGGATCATTCTCCGGTCACAATGAAATTACTATGGGGAAATGAGTTGAATAGGAGGAAATTGTGGAGGTTAAACGAGACACTTCTACAGGATCAAGAGACGGATCAAAATATTAAAAAAGAGAGAGCAATTTTTTAAGGAAAATGATTCTGAGGAGGTGTCTGTGGGAACGGTGTGGGAGACTCATAAAGTCTATATCAGAGGTATCCTGATAGCGATTGGAGCAAAAAAAAGAAGAGAGGAGAGAAAAAATAAATAAGCTTCTGAAGGAACTCTGGGAGTTAGAGCAGAAACATAAAAATAGAGTAACAAAAGAGATTATGCAGAGGGTTATGAACAAAAGAGAGGAATTAAATAATTTTCTGAAAGAAGATAAGAGAAGAGTGTTTAATAAAATGGTATGTGAGAGATATAGATGGGGAGATAGACCAGGAAAATATTTAATGAGGGCTCAGAGGAAAAAGAAATCCAGGAACTATATAGAGAAAATAAGGGACAACAAAGGTGAATTAGAAATATTGTAAAATATTGGGGATGGGACCCAGAATAAGAGAATGGATAAAGAAATTATATTGTCAACCCTCTACAGCTGTCATGGTTAATGGGGAATTGTCGGAGAGCTTTTGAATGCGGAATGGAACTAGACAGGGATGTCCTTTGTCTCCACTGTTGTACGTTCTATCTTTGGAATCTTTATTGGCTACAATAAGGAATAACATAGATATAAAAGGGATCAGGATAGGACAGATAGAGCATAAGGTGGCAGCTTATGCAGATGATATGTTGTTCTATGTGGGAAACTCAAGGATAACATTACCAAACTTAATGAAATCATTGAGGGAATATGGAGAGATATCAAACTTAAAAATTAACCCAACTAAAACGGAGATTTTAAATATAAATCTTTTAAACAGCGAGAAAAATATCTTCCAGGAGGAATTTCCCTTTGTATGGAGAGAAAAAGAATTAAAGTATTTAGGTATAAAATTAACTGTATCTTTTAAGAATTTATATAGATCAAATTATATCCCATTATTAAATTATTAAGAATGAACTAAGAAAACTAGGTGGGGGAACTCTGTCATGGATAGGTAGTATAAATCTGATAAAAATGGTAATTGTTCCAAAAATTCTATATAGATTCCAAATGATACCAATCAAAATACCAGAAGCATATTTTAGAATAATTAAAAAAATGCTAACTAGATTTATTTGGAGGAAACAAAAACCTAGAATAAGTTACGAAATCTTAAGTAGGAATAAAGAGAAAGGTAGACAGGGAGTTCCAGATTTAGAAAGGTACTATAACTCAGTAATACTGACAAGAATGTTTGATTGGACACATAAGTTGGGTAAAAATAGAAAACACACTAACTAACACAAACCTTAGTAGAATTGTATGGTTACCCCCAAAATTCTGAGGATTAGCAGATAGCAAAAGTTTTTTCACACTGAATGTGTTAAGAGGTATGGCATGTTTTACATAAACAAAAAGGGTGGGAATATAATTCACTTTTAATGCCCTTATGGTCCACAGATTATTTTCCTCCCGGTAAAGAAAGTGTTGCTGGGAAGTGGATAAAGAAGGAAGATGTACGGTTGAGAGATGTAATGGTGGGAGAGGAAATAGGTTCACTTAAGGATTTGGAAAAAAAGACAGAAATATTTATGAGAATTGATGAGTGGCGTTTTTTTCAGTTGAAACACTTTGTAGGGAAGCCTCCAAGGCCATTGAGAACAAGAGAGGATTGGAACCCTTTTGAGCACTTATTAGACACAAGGGGAGATGGGAAACACGGGATATCAAAAAATATATAAAAATTCTCACTGGAATAATCACAGATACAAGTCCACCATTTATAGAGAAGTGGGAAAGGGATATAGGATTAATGATATGGAAAAGAAAAAGAAAATATACAGTTTAATACACGAAAATGTAAATATGAAGGAGGTAGAGATGAATTATAAATGTTTGGCAAGATGGTATATCACACCGAATGTAGCACACAGATTGAATGGAGATAACTCACCTTTATGTTGGCGTGGATGTGGATGTGGGGATAGAGGTACAATGTATCACATTTGGTGGGAGTGTCCTAAAATTCAAGAGTATTGGGGGAAAATAGCAGGTATGATTCAGAAAATAACAGAGGTTGATATTCCAAAAGACCCAGAGACTTGCCTATTCCTAGGTACTAAGCTTCCAGTTAAGAAATATAAAAAATATGGTTTATTGTATTATCTTAATGCAGTGAAGGGATTGATACCCAAGTTTTGGAAGAAACAGGAGGTACCAAAAATAAAAGATTGGATAAATAGGGTGGACCAGATATATAGATTAGAAGAACTTTACCACTTGAGTGAAGATAAAATGGAGAATTTTCGTGCCAAGTGGAAAAGGTGGGAGGATTTTAAGGAGTCAGAATTAATCCTAGAGTATATGAGTAATAGAGTAGAGTAATAGAGAAATAATGTGGATATGTTTCTGAATTGGGATCTCCAGAGGTAGTGGGAAAGATGCAGAGCGGAGGTTTTGGGGGGTTGGAGGGAGGGGGGGTATTTGGTTGGGTGGTGGGGGGGGGGGGGGGAAATGTTAAGGATTATTGGTTAACAATCAGATATTATGACAATCAAATCTGTGGTAGTTTTATATGTTTATCTGTTTATGGTTTGTTTGTATAAATTTTACATTTTGAAAATGTAATAAAATATTTAAATTATAAAAAACACTTATAATGGCTACATTTGTAGTAGAGTTTGTTCTGTTGAAAAACCGATTGAAAATAAAGGAAATCAAACCTTAAAAAGAAAACTAATACAGCCATCACACCTAAGAATTGGTAAGTTGCAATCTAATAAATGTTTGATTTTGGGTTTAATACCATTTTAAGACCCAGATTTTAAAGGTATGCATTTAAAGCCAGAGAGTGCAAAGTAAAGTGGAAAATAGGGCCTTGATATAACAGATCTGGAGTGTTGGATCCAGGGAAGTCTGAATATACAGTTGTGTTCAAAATAATAGCAGTCAGACATCACTAACCTGATCAATCACTGTTTTTGGTAGAAATTATATTTCTACATGGCAAATAATTTACTAGCAGGTGTAGTAGAGTAATAGAAATCCAACAGACCCAACAGACATGACATGCATGCTGCTGATTCTGTGTAATTGAATCACTAATTGAAAGGAGCATGTTCAAAATAATAGCAGTGTGGCGTTCTATTAGTGAGGTCATTCATTCTTTGAAAAACAGGTGGCAATTATTGCCCTTATTTAAGGAAGGAAGGCAGCAAATGTTGTACATGCTGGTTACAGTGCATTTCTCTCTGAAATTCTGAGGAAAATGGGTCGTTCCAGACATTGTTCAGAAGAACAGCGTACCTTGATTAAAAAGTTGATTGGAGAGGGGGAAAACATATAAAGAAGTGCAGAAAATGATAGGCTGCACAGCTAAAATGATCGCAAATTCTTTAACCACCTTCTGCCCGCCCTATAGTACAATGACAGACGCAAGGTGGTTTTCTCGTTCTGATAGGACATCATATGACGTCCTACCATTCTCACTGCGCATGCGCAGCTTGGAGCGCACAGCACGGCGATCGCCGGTGTGCTGTATCCCTCGGACACAGCAGATCTCGGAAAGAGCCGAAGATGTTGGCTCGGTCATGTGATCAGCTGTGTCCAATCACAGATGATCACATGTAAACACATAAATGCCAGTTATCGGCATTTCTCTCCTCTCGAGCTGTCACGCTGACAGCTGGAGAGGTGAGGAGAGCCGGTAATCAACTTTCCGCGGAGGGGGCATTTACACGGATCATCAGGGCACTGATGATCAGTGTGCTCTGATGATCAGTGTGGCCCCAGGAGTGCCACCTGTCAGTGCCCATCAGTGCCACGTGCCAGTGCCCATCAGTGCCACGTGCCAGTGCCCATCAGTGCCACATCAATGCCACATATCAGTGCATACCAGTGCACATCAATGCCACATATCAGTGCCCATCTGAGCTGCCTTTCAATGTCACCCATCAGCGCCAGTCAGTGCCACCTATCAATGCCAATCAATGCCACCTATCAGTTCTGCCAATCAGTGCCACCTGTCAGTGCCGCCTATCAGTGCCAGTCAGTGCCGCCTATCAGTGTCATGTATCAGTGCTGCCTTTCAGTGCCCATCAGTGATGCCTGTCAGTGCCCATCAGTGCCACCTATCAGTGTCCATCAGTGCAGCCTATCAGTGCCCATCACTGCAGCCTCATTAGCGCACATCAGTGAAGGAGAAAATCACTTATTTACAAAATTGTATAAAAAAAAACTAAGAAAAAAACCTTTTTTTTTTTCAAACTTTTCAGTGGTTTTTGGTTTGTTTAAGAAAAAAAAAAAATTCCAGAGGTGATTAAATACCACCAAAAGAAAGCTCTATCTGTCTAAAAAAAAATGATAAAAATTTCATATGGGTACAGTGTTGCATGACCGCGCAATTGTCATTCAAAGTGTGACAGCGCTGAAAGCTGGAAATTGGCCTGGGCAGGAAGGGGGTATAAGTGCCCTGTAGGCTAGTGGTTAAAATGGCAACCAAAACCCGAAAGACGTGGAAAAAAGCGAAAAAACTACCATTCGAATGGATAGAAGAATAGCCAAAATGGCAAGGACTCAGCCAACAATCAGCTCCAGGAAGATCAAAGAAGGTCTAAAGTTACCTGTGAGTACTGTTACAATTAGAAGACGCCTATGTGAAGCCAAGCTATCTGCAAGAAGCCCCCGCAAAGACCCACTGTTGAAAAAAAGACGTGCTGAAGAGGTTACAATTTGCCAAAGAGCACATTGACTGGCCTAAAGAGAAATGGCGCAACATTTTGTGGACTGATGAAAGTAAGATTGTTCTTTTTGGGTCTAGTGGCCGGAGACCGTTTGTCAGACGACCCCCAAACACTGAATTCAAGCCACAGTACACTGTGAAGACAGTGAAGCATGGTTGCGCAAGCATCATAATATGGGGATGTTTCTCATACTACGGTGTTGGGCCTATTTATCGCATACCAGGGATCATGGATCAGTTTGAATACTTTGAATCAGAATACTTGAAGAAGTCATGCTGCCTTATGCTGAAGAGGAAATGCCCTTGAAATGGGTGTTCCAACAAGACAACGACCCCAAACACACCAGTAAACGTGCAACATCTTGGTTCCAGACCAACAAGATTGACGTTATGGAGTGGCCAGCCCAATCCCCGAATCTTAATCCAATAGAAAACTTGTGGGGTGACATCAAAAATGCAGTTTCAGAGGCAAAACCAAGAAATAGGGAAGAACTGTGGAATGTAGTCCAATCATCCTGGGCTGGAATACCTGTTCACAGGTGCCAGAAGTTGGTTGACTCCATGCAACACAGATGTACAGCAGTTCTCAGAAACAGTGGGTATACAACTAAATATTAAGTAATTCAAAGGAAAGCAAAATCTTCAAACATTTTTCAGTTTATATAGTGAATGAGTTTGTAAAGAAGAATACAAACACTGCTATTTTTTTTGAACAGTCTAATATTCACTTTTCTTCAATTTCTTTAGAGGAACAACACAAATTTGATATATTTTTCTTGATGTGATTATAGAACATAGCTTTTACCTGTGTGATTGCTGGGCAACCTGGTGGCACACTACAGGTAATACGGCCGATTGAAATTGGAAGTTGTTTTTACAGGCTGTCTATCATAGTGTTGTGTTGCACTTTTTTTAATGTGAGTGCATTTGGAGTGTTTGGTTTTATTATGCTGCTGATACTACACTATCAGATATTTTCTTGTCTGTTTTATTTTGATGAGTTTTGGTCGCTGATAGTGTTCTTGGTACTTCAGAGAAGATATCCCATTGTGATGTTTTAAAACACTAAGTGCTGTCTGACCTCATGCTTCCTGAGGTCTTTTGATCTGGGGAGTACTTATTGTTTGCAGGTGGTATAGAAAACTTACTGGTGTTTTTTTCAGCAAAATCATATTCAGTTTTGAGTGGAGCACTCTCCTTTTATTGAAAGTCAGTTGGTGCAGCATGGACAGGCCAAATTTTGATCTATGTGTGGCTGTCCTCATTCTACAGAAGTCAATTGTTAATTCAACTTATGTTGAACGGAAGAGCTGGAAAAGTTTTGTTGATCAGCGGCTGCAGCCAGTGGGCTGATCAGTGGATTCTGAAAGTGCCAAGTCCGGCTGTCAGAACCAGGGGTGGACTGACAACTCATGGGGCCCCCAGGCAATAGGGGATCATGGGGCACCTGTGTCTTTGCCCAAACTCAAAAAAGCCTATGAAAAAGGTACTAGGGGCATCTCATGGGGCCCCCTACTGACCCCAGGCCCTCGGGCAGTGCCCGAGTTTCCAAATGGTCAGTCCGCCCCTGGTCAGAACACAATATCCTGGCTGGGGGATTCCTCTAATCACCTCATTTGTGTAGATGAAGGAATCTTTTCATCTTTGAGCAATATACTGTAACTGTACTTTTTGTCGGTTCACCTTTAATGAGCTTCAGTCACAGATATTACTGGTGGTGCTTCCGAGAGTATATCCTGCAATGGTGTATTAAACACTAAGTGCAACCTGACCTCTTTCTATCTGGCATCTTTTGATTAGACGAGTGCATATTGTTCATAGGTGAGGAGAAGCACAGTGGTTGTTTTCAGCAACATATTCAATTTAGACTGAAGCACTTTCAAATTCTCTTGGACTTTTTTTACCTTGTGATTACTAATTATAAATGTTGTGCCCAGTATTCAGAGCATATGTCTTAAAGGAATGGTCTTTATTTAATGTATTTTGTCTGGTCATTTACATATATATATATATATATATATATATATATATATATATATATATATATGGGGGCTGTTTCACAGATTTTTTTGGAACAAGCTCTATTCAACATGGTTTTAATTAGAATAAAAACTAGGGATGAACCGAAATCTCGGTGCCGAAAATAGCCCTGCCCAGGCTTACCTGAGAACCCATTCCAAGGAAAGATGGCCTCCACTCATCTCTATGCCCTTGGAAGACTGGAGCGATGTCATTATGTCACTTCCTGTTCCGGCACCATGTAAATAAGGTCTTTTTTTTTTTAAAGTGCTATATCAATGCTTTTTTTTAATCTAATGCTGTACGTTGTAGAGGAGAGATGTAATTCTGTAGAGGAGAGCAATAATTCTAGCACTAGACCTCGTCTGTAACTTTAAGCTGGTAACTTGTAGAAATGTTTAAAGCGCCACCCATGGTGCACAATTTTAAATAATGACATGTTGGGTATATATTTACTCAGCGTAACATCATCTTTCATATTTTACAAAAAATTTGGGGTATATATTGTGTTTTTGTTTTTTATTTTATTTATCAAATTACTAACTGACATACAAAGACATTCACAATGCTGCCCCAAACTACCTAACTGACCTGATACCCAAATACTATCCTACCCGTGCCCTTCGCTCCTCACAGGACCTCCTACTCTCTAGCTCTCTGGTCTCCTCCTCCCACGCCCGACTGCAGGACTTTTCCAGGACTTCCCCCATCCTCTGGAACTCCCTACCCCAATCCATCAGACTGTCACCTACCCTCCTCACCTTCAGGCGCACCCTAAAAACCCATCTCTTCAGGGAAGCCTACCCCACCCTCACCTAACAACCAATCTCCTCCACTCCTCCTACCACTCCATCCCCCACAGCCACTTCCTCCTGTACCGCTATCCCCTCCCTCCTAGATTGCAAGCTCGAAAGAGCAGGGCCCTCGAACCCCTCGTGTATTGTATTGTACTGTGTTGTCTCATGTTCTGTCCCCCTCACTAATGTACAGCGCTGAGCACACCCTTTGGCGCTATATAAATACTGTATAATAATAATAATTAAAGGGTCTTTTTTTTTTTAAAAATGCATTTGAAAAATATATAAATTTTTAAAAACTGTTCATTTCGGTTTTCGGCTAAGTGCACCCTGAATTTTCTGTTTTGGCACCAGAATTTTCATTTCGGCGCACCACTATAAAAACTTATAGAGGAGTAAGTTTGAACAGCTGCTATGGGTTTTGTATTCTTATTAAAATACATTTTTTTTAGCAAAGCAGTATCTTTACAACATATTTATTGTATGCCAGATTTGTAAGACCACCACTTGGCCCTCTGTTCCCACATTCTTCAAGTTCTACCAGAGGGAGGTTCAGGCCTCATCTGATGCCACCTTTGTCCATAAGGTGCTTCAAGCTGTTTTCTGATTTGTTCGGATTCCTTGAGCCCTAGTTTTTCTTGTGGGCCTATTGGCAATTCTAGTTGCTATGTCATTGGCCACCCCTCAGTTTTATTGCTTGGGTATGTCTCATGGTCTATGAATAACATATGAACAAACACAGATCCAGATGGCTGCACTCCCTTTATCTTTAAAGCAATTCATTATTGAATAAAAAACTATCCATAAATGCAGCAAACCTGTACAAAAATACATAATAGGGAGAAAGCGGTAACCAAACCTGGAAGAAGTACAGCAAGTGTGCAACGCCTTACCTCTCTCTATTCTCCATGTGTACTTTTGTATGTATGCTGCTTTTATGGACAGTTTATGATTCAATAAAGAGTTGCTTTAAAGATAAAGGGAGTGCAGCCATCTGGATTCGTTTTGTAAATGTGCAGCTATGAACTGGGCTGGCACCCCTTTTATGTTGAAGAATGTATTGCATTGCTGGCTTGCCTAGAGCAATGGGAGTGTGGTCTGTGAATACCTGTCTCGTGTCCTGTACTGTACAATTAAAAGGAATTAACAGGAATTTTGAATTACCTTTAAGTTATCTTGAAATACAGTACAGGTCCCTTCCCTCTTATTTTCGCTTGCTACAAAACTGGAGCTTCACATTGTGGGTAGATTTATAAGGGTATACAAAAAAAGGGGGGTTTGTGAAAAGAGATTCACAGAAAAGCGGCTACATAGTGAACAGAACGTGACACACAGGAAGAAATTTCCAAAAATTATGCTTTATTACACATATAAAAATATGACATATGGGCTTTCGCCCTGGTTTACCATCACCTCAGTTGAGACAATACACACAGACCTAAAACCATTTAAAATGACACCAGAACCGGTCTAAATGTATGTGCAGCAGGGAAAATGGCTACAAGAGTCTAGTGTCCCTGTAGCACAAACACACAAGTGAACACTTCCCTAGGTCCTGACGAAGCTGAGTGAGATACGCCCATCGGCGAAACGCGTTGACGTCATACGTCAGATACG